TTTAACTTATTTTTTAATTATTGGATAATTTTTTTTTTTTTTTTTTTTTTTTTTTTTTTTTTTTTTTGTTAATGCAAAAGCAAGTTTTTGTCCAAGTTTTTACCTGTTTGAAATCTAGTAAAAAAGTAACTGTTATAGAATGGAATAAAATAAAATATTCAATCAGAAGGAAAATATATTCATTTGTCTTTGTCTGTATAAATTCATAATAATGAACCTAATTTATATTTCTTATCCTGTTTAGCAAATAAATTCCTCAGAAACAGCAATCACTTTAACTAACAATTTAAAATTGAAAATGTTTCTTTGATTCTCTCTTTATTTGTAATGAATTTCTTATAAAAAATTGTCTCTGTAATTATCAAAAATTATGAATCTCTTGTTAAAAAAGTATATATTTTTTGCACCCAGGCCAGTTTTTCTTCCTGGCTTTCTCCCAAATAGGAACTAGTCTCAGTTATGTGTAGTAGTAGTACTGCTATATTAGTAGGCCTGATTAGTATTAGATTATTCTATTGACCTGCTGAGTCCACATTTAAACTGGGATTATGAACAGATTAAGAGGTGACAAAAAGTGTAAGGTCAACCAGGTTTGGGGCTATAGTCCTTCAATTTTGAAAGGTTCATTATTTGCTAGTCTCGGGTAGTGTTGGATATGAATATTTTGGTATATTGTCATGTTTGAGATGACCAGGGAAAGGAAGTATCTAGTTTTCCACCATATCTTGCACTTTAGAATGAGGTATAATATTTGAGATTGTTTTAGGCATATTGATTCTTTAATTGATGAAAATATATGTAGATGTACTGGTAGCATGAAATGACCATGAAATCAAAGATGAAAAAATGAGATACTGACTAATTTTTTCCCAATCAAAAAAAAATTGAAGAGTGCACACAGAATGTCACCATAAATTACTTTAATGATTTCTAAAATATGTTTGATTTGTTGCATTTTTGGATACTAATAATACTCCACTTATAAAATATAAGTGTACAGAAATTAGTTATAAAAATGACCTCAGAACAATTGACTTTATACCTGCTACATATTTAGCAAACTTCATTATGTTTAGTGTTTGTAAAACTAAGTTATTAATCAAATCACCTATGAGACTGAGGGGCCAGCTAATAGTAGGTAGAATTAGGCTCTATTCCCATAGATTTTAGATCGATCTATCCCCGCGGGGAGTCTCACTAGATTACTTTCAGATAATCCGACTTACATGTCCGTCCCTCCTACTACAAGCTGTAAGAGGGTAATTAACTTTCGTGTCCGCCCGGCTGACAGCTATTTAGCGTGAACCCCCAAGGAGTTAGGTCGATCTAAAGTAGGTCGATCTAATCTATGGAAATGGGGTGTTAGTGTTTGTGCTGATCAAAATCATACCTGATTGTTTAAGGAGAAAATTAGTGGACTCAGGAGCTGCTTATTGGCACATTAAGAGATTACCCAGGATTACGTTGTTTAGTTTTCACTTTACTGTCAACTAGAATTGCTTCTTTTCGAGTCATAGCCAAAAGTAACTTCTGAGAGAGAGAGAGAGAATTTTGATGATATATTTATATTATTAAAGTAAGTATCTGATGAACATGGTTAATAATGAGGAAAGATATTAAACAACAGTACTCTTATTAACAAATCTCAAAGAATTTGTAATCTTAAAAGAACCAAAGGTTTATATACTTATGAGAAATTGATCATTTCTTAAGACACGTTGTTATAGTCATGAGAAATATTGAATCTTGTATGTGAGAGAGAAACGCCCAATATGCACCCTGTGGTCTAAGGTACAGTGTACCAGACAATAACACCCTGTGTGTCACAGGTTAACAAAATATACCCTGCTGGTATGGGAATGTTTAAGGAGTTCTTGTACTTCATTATGCCAGAGGTATTGCACTTTAATTAAAAAGTCCCTTGCATGCTCTTTACGTAACTCTCTGTGATGTAGATGTACTTAAATCAAGTTCAGCTAAAAATGCATGTAAATCTGTTTGATTTTTATAACTAAGAAATTGGTATTTTATTTTTTTATCATCTAAAAAATAAAATATAGTTTTTTCATGCAGGGCTTGGCCTCAGGAGAGAGGCAGAGTATGATAGATTTTCTGATTTCTTGTCCAAAATCCAAGTTTTTGTGTGTGCGTGCACTGCAAAAGGCAAATTTGAAAACTGATATCCAGCACATGTCGCTTCTTAGCTAAGATGGATAGATTTTAGGAGAAAGTGTGACAGATAAAACACTTTACACAAAAGTAGTAATGGAGAACTCCTGCCAGCCAGTTACCTGAGATGTGTGGTATGGAGGAAAAACATCAAAATTACCTAAAATGTATTATGAGATACTTGTCAGCTGCATTCACCCTTGAAACAAATTTTCAAAAAATATGTTTAACTTGTTTTTCAACTCTCTGATTAAAAGATTTGTTTTACTTGGGTCATACCCATTATCTGATGGGTAAAGTCTGAATTTAAAAAACACAATATCTTTTTATTAGTTAATCTTATAATAATTTTTTTTGCAGTTTTACCGAGACCTCGGTCAAATGAAAAGAGTTCATAAACCTGTACTTACTGCTAGTTTCAAAAATGGGATCATATGCAACATTTGAAATACCTGAGAATTCTAATCATTTATTTGAATCATCTTAGAAGATTGACGAATATTTTTTTTATTACATTTTTTAATTTAATTGATATATTCAAAGCATTTCAAGTAAAAGGATAACATTTTTCCCAACAAATTATTTTTTCTGTTAGAAAAAAACCAGAACTTTGAATTATTAACCACCAAATAAACCAAGATTACACTTGGTGTGAAGATCTTCATGCCATGAATGCCCTGTGATCACGCCTATCTCTCCCACATACTTCAATGAAGTATCTCATTGAATCTATCAATTTCAAAGCTGGGATCCTCAGGGTAGTGTATTAGGACAGACAGGAACACTGAGTGAGTTTGACAGCACCCTGGGGTTCTCGGTCAATCTTTGAGCCTGATTGAACTTTGCCTTTCATTCAGGGAGAGAGAGAGCTAAACCACCCTCCGACTTGGGAATGATTAGTAAAATGTGTTAGCCCGTTAAGAGATTCGACTTCCTCAATATGGAAATTGAGGTGAAATAGAAGTTTTGCTCTTGGGACTTTGGGGTAGGGCAAAGAGGCAATTTTTGTATCAAAATTAAAGCTGTTTATTATTAATAACCATGACTTGGTTGAACATATTACAGGCCTTTACACTTTGTAAATGGTATTTGAATGTATCAGATTTTCCTATCATGGAGGGTTGAGAGATTATTATATTGGAATGGACCATCGGCATTCAAAGAAGTAAACTGCATGGACAACATGTTTGGAGATCGTATTTTGATTTCATGCATCTCACCTGCATATTAAGAGAATGTATATTGTGTAACATTATATAAGTATAATTTTTTTTTCTCTCTTTCATTTACTTACTATCATTACTATCTTTTCGTATGTATAATGTATAGTAGTTAGAGAGCCTCTAAATGTAAAAACATTTCAGTGCTCAATAAATTATTATTATTATTATTATTTAAATGAATGAATGAAAAAAGTGAAGTTGTTGCCAAGGAAAAAAAATGGATGTTTTTCTTAACGGTTGCATTGGTTGTAGATGTAATTCTTATGTCTTTAACGTTAAAAAATTAATAAAACTTTGAAAATAATATCTACAAGTATGCTTAGATTAGTATTGACAGCCATTGGTTTGGAAGAAAAGTTGTGTAATTGAAAAAAATTGATTCAGAAAATTTAATTATTGAAAATATAACTAAAATAATTATTCTTTAATTTGATCAACTCCGATTGCTATTCAGCATTATTTTTTAAAAAAATAAAAATGTGAAGGTCTGGATCTGAACGTGTTTAAAAATTGAAAATCTCTGTAGAATTAATAGGATGTGAAGTGCTGGGAGAATATCCTGTTGAGGGAATTAAATGTTAGGAACGAGCAGGAGAGAGGATTAAGATCTCATCTCGTTAGGTACTTAATGATAATGTAATTATTTCAGATTAAACACCTGATTTTGTTTCCACAACACCACGCAGTGAAAAAAAAAATAATAATGAGCAAAGAAAATGCTGAGACATGAAGAAAAAAGTGCAAGTTTGAATATTGTGGTTAGGGTGTTAGAATAACTTTTTTAACCCAACATTCTGTAAACTAATTATTTTTTATCGCCATTTCATATTGCCTCTAGATCTAGATTAAGACACTGATAATACAGATTTAATGCCCAGTGCATTCAAAAGGTTAACACTGAAAAGAACACAATCGCAGATTTATTTCCCTTAATTTGGTTTTGATAATCTTCGCGTAGTGTGCTGGAATGCCCCTTTGATGTATTCGCCCATCTGAGGATAATAAGTCGCCATTTTAATCATAGCTGTTTGAATAGGCCCTGAAGATTGAAAGGAGTCGGGTTACATATGAACCTGTTAGTCATGAAAACCGCAATATAGACTATACACAAGCAGCCTTTTATTGAGATGGAAAATTTAGGAAAACATCAAGTGTGAAAATGTGCTAGCATGTTGCTGATCTTAATTAAGATGTTCAGTTTGAAGATGTGTCTTTAAAAAGTTTCCATTTGTTTTATATGTTCAGCTGCAGCTATTTTTTAAAGATCAACATATTATGTAATTGCCCAGTGCAAATATCATGAATCATTCTTTATACAAAGAAATATGTTTTTTTTAAGATGAATTCGAGTTCTATGTGCCATTTTATGTGCCATATGATAATAGAATTTTTTTTATTGAAATAAATACTTATCGAAATGAAAACACAATATTTAAGCAAAAAGTTAAAAAAAGAAAAAAAAAAAAAAAAAAGAACTAATATTACAAGAAATGTCAGCCTAAATTATTCATGTGTTCCTCTTCAATATTAACCAATTCTGCCTTCATGTACATGTACAATAGTACAGTTTGCTCATATAAGCAAATAGCAGCGGTGTTGCATTAACCTCCAGTGCATTTACTGTATATATCTGGTTGACCACCTGAGTCATAGAAAATAAAAGACAACCTTAATAGAGTAGAATACCTAGGTCCATCTAGTAAAGTGAGCCTGTATTCTGGACACAGTAGGGAAGTACCAACCAGCTTTCTAGCATATTTGTCATGTTTCCGCCTTTGCCTTTGTGTCGCTGGTTGTCCAACATCGCAAACGGCTGGAGATGACTTTTGATCTCGACAATTCCAGGTTGTTTTAGTTTAACAGATTTGCTTTGTCAGCCCTTACCACTTACAATATTTGTGCTGAGAAAATGCAAACAAAATTATACAAATTGAAAATATTTGAGTGGTGATTGGGTAAATATGAGGCTCACAGCCACCATTGGGGTGTAACAGGGCCTGCTGGGGCTCCAGTGGGGGGGGGGGGGGGGGGGGTTAAGGGAGGGGGCAGAGAGATAGAGCCAGCTCTTTATGTTTTTGAAAAGTCATACAGTAAATATCTTGACTTGGTTTAGGTAATCGAAAACAGTAGAAAAATGACAGCTAAAAGAAATATAGTTTTTTAATGAATTATTTAACCATCAATGAGGTATTAAGCTCAATTTTTTTTCTACAAAGTGAATAGGGGAAGTGTACATGTTAATCCTGTTTTGTAAATACGTACAGACATGGAGTGTGCCATGATTTTTTAAAAAATTGAGAATATTCTGTTCTCCTGAATTGTTCACCAGCTTAGGTGTTTGACCAAAAAATTAGAGAATTTTTTTAGTTGAAAGCAATCCAAATCTTAACAATTGCCTTTGGATGAATGATTGTTATTTTGCATCATTGTAAATACTCTTTATGAGATAAATATTTTAAAAATATTCCAAAAATTATTTACTTAGTTTTGCATTATAAGATTTTTCTCAGGGAAGGGCCTGATCTGGGGAGCTTATTGAGAGGTCGCCCCTGGATTTCACCCTTGGGGGCCCCTTACCTTTCTCTGCTTCTTAAAGCAGGGTTAGCTTTGTATACCATTGAATTGATTGAAAAGATAAATTCCCCCAGACCCCTCTGATATTGTTGCCTATTTTCATTAGCCGGTCTTTGATGTTCATTCATGTGCGTATGGGATAATAGGCTGCTACTTAACAGTTACAGTTCTAAGGGTAGTGCCCTGTGCTTGTGAAGTTAACAAGTTTGAGGTGTACCTTTTGAGTTTCTTTTCGTGTTAAAGTTGGAAAAAATCTCACTTCTGGAGTGTTTTCGGTAATGTGATTTTTCTGGCGAGCGTTAGAGAGTAATTCTGATAAGAGGAAGAGGAATTTTTCCCACTGGAAGAAGTGGATTGATCTTTTTGGCAAAAACACTCAAAGAGCACGAGTTATTTCTCAGAAAAATCCTCAATAAATCAGCTGTTTTATGTGACGTGAATTTGTTTCTCTGTGACACCACAATGAACCCACGTTGCTCCTGCAAAATCACTTACGACAAAAACATTTCTCAGTGCCACATTTTCACTACTATCTGAGAGTGTGTTATTCTCCTCTGTCCTCCCCTCTTAAAGTCTTCCGTCCCTTTCAGACTTCTCCACTTGGTTCACCCCAGCAGTGAGCAGTAGCCTGTGTGAATTTGATGCCTGGACTCCATGTTGTATTCCCTCCACTTGCTAACAGAACAGTCGGACCATTTCCCAAGGCACTGTGGCAGCCACGGCAGAACTAAGACGCAGACCTGACTCTGGAAAATGGATTTTGCAGGATTCTCCTCATAGCACCAGTAGTTGAACCTAGGAGACTGCTTTGATAAGATCCGTCATCATTTTTGCCAGGACTGTAAGCATGGTGGTGGAGGTGGAGTGAAGAACTAGGGTGCACCACAAGCCTGAGAGGTGAGTTTTGGAGGAAATAGCTTTCAGGGGTTATTGGGGTAAAACTGTAACACAATTTCAGTCCATCTTCATATCACACAAAGATATCTGTTAGGATGTAGATTCATGAGCTAAACTGTATAATTATCATTACCATGTCTAGAAAGTAACATAACCTGTGGTTCTTGGGAAGGGTAAGGCCAAGGAATAAGGTCTAAATGGGGTCTCGAATTCCCTGGGTTTTTGACATGAAGGGGGCTAGAGAAAGTGGAAGCCTGGCAAAGGTCATACACCGATGTCATGGCCACGGCTTCTCAGTTGACTCGGTGTCAGGAAGTGAGGAGCGTTGCAAGATGCCTGGCAATGCCAGAGTTCAACCCGAATCTCGTTTGAAGTAAACCAAAATATGTGATATTCAATCCTGCCTGCGCCATAGCATGGCTGTTACTGTCACTTAATGTTGAACACTGACTCCCTGGCCAACAAGTGAGATGAGTTCATATTGATCAACAGTTGTGATGATATTTGATAGGTGAAAGACAGACAGACATGGTTAACTGTTTTGACTGTTTTAGCTCTGTTAATTAGAAGAAAAGCATTTTAAAGCTGATTAGTGTTTCTAGTTCAGTGGATTTTTGCTACTACTTAAAAATAAGGTAGAAATCTACTGTGTGAGTCATGTTAGACACATTGTAGAAAATTCAAGGGTGGATTGAGGCTGTCTTCTGGGTCTTCCGGAAGATGGTCAAATTTCTAAGTTTACATTGATGAGTACCTAATTTTTTTTCTGTCAGAAGACGGTCAAAAGTTGGAGGATGGATCGACATAGATAAAGTGGAAGACTGTCAGAAAATGTCTCTGGATCCGTCCCTGAAATTGATTAAGCTAAATTTTTAGATATCATTTATTAAATGGGCATTGGTTTGTATGTAGTTCAGGTAGAGATGTGATAAGTATTTAGAACTCTTTATTTACGTAATTAAGGTGTTAATCCCCTTAGTAGAGCAACCCGGTGTGACCCCCTATCAAGAAATCAAATTAAGTGCCACGGAAAATATTTATAAACTTCTGGTTAAGGCATAAATGTATGCAAATTTTTATAAAAAATTGTTGATATAGAGTACCTGGTCAATTTTATCGAGTTAATAGTTTGATATTTCCAACTCCAGAACGCACAGAATGACTGGCAGAATGACTGGCGCTCTGGATGGTTGTCTACTGTCTTACTTCACAATATAAACATTTTTTGACAGCTCGTAGTCGTCCTGCCTCTGCATTCTTGACTCACTGGCATATTTTTGTTTTATACATTCTATATTTAGTAAAGTGGATTTTTTAAAATAAAAAACTGACACATTTGCTGTAGTCTCTTATATTTTACTGCCTTACAAAGAAAAGTGAGGCCTTTTTGGGATATATACTAGTAGAAGATTTGATTTTTTCATAGTGATGACATTTGATTCTTTTAATAGGGGTACATAAATAGTAATTGTGAGAAAAAATTTAGGAAAATCCAATTCATCATAAAGAATGAATACATATATTTGATTTCTGTTATTTGAGACATTTATAGGGGATTGAATTTGTTCAAAAGTTAATGAAAATTTGACTCTTTGTGCACCTTTCCTTTTCGGTGCATGAAGTCTGGTGCCATCATGGTGGTATCCAAATCGTAAAAAGATGAAAGATTTGACAGAGAACTTTCAGACATATCAAATAGAGTTAGATGACTTGTAACATTTGATTTTTTTTATTGCAAGTTTTCAAACCTACAGTCTATGGTAAAGGCTTTGGTGCCTGAAAGACGAAATGAAGACTTTCCTAAGGGCAAGTCGTAGGTCTCATTTTACACCAGTATTTCCACTGTCTTCTGTCTGTGAGTCCAGTTTGAGCTTTACTTCTTTGTACCCATGTTTGTGTAATTTTTTTCATTTTTATCATTCATCATCTGAGCATTGTAAAATATGACTGAATCCAACACCTGCCCTAGCTCCCCTATCAGTTAGTATATCAGTGATCTATTTGTGAAATAAATGAATTTTTTATCAAACCCAGTTTCTGCACATATAACTTTTCAGTTCCCTATTCCAGAGTTTTCTTGTGAAAACTGCTCTTAGACCCCATTCCCATACTTAGATCAATCTAGCAGGATCGACCCATCTCTGAGGGGTCGCTAAATTGCATTCAGATTAAGCAGCTTAGATGTCTGGCACGCCTACTGAAGCTGCTAAATGATATAGTTAATTATTCCTTAACATCTTCAGTAGGCACGCCAGACATCAGAGACCCCTTGGAGATGGGTTGGTCCTACTGGATCGACTTAGGTATGGGAATGGGGTTTTACACTTGCCTAGACACAGATTTGCCCTTGGCATTCTGGGAAGGAAAAAAACAGAAATAGTTGTGAAATGTTTAAGTGCAGAAAATTCTTTGATTTGGGTCATTTGTTTTTACTGAATCCAACCTGAGCCTAAAAAAGTGAGAATTTCTTTTTATTCCTGCCACTTGAAAGAACCTGTCACAAGTTGACATAAAGGACATCTGTTTTGGCAAACAGAATTACTGTGTTTGAAAAACTCCTGCTAAACAATTTGGATAGCTGGTATTGTATTAAGGCCATGGTAGAGCACTGGTAAGGAATGAAGAATTTAACATGTACACATGAGAAAGGAAAAAATTTTAACTTGGCAGGAAATATCATGCATCATTGTTTTGTCTGAAGTTGAAGGATTTTAGTTATTTTTAAGGATCTTAAAACAGAGAGAATGGTAAATATGTTCAGTTGAAAAATAAACACTGATTTGCTAGCCTTCTTCATATCAAATAATAGATCCAAGCATGTGAGAATAGAAATATATTTAGCTGGTAAATGGTTATTGTTGTGGAAATTTTTGTGGGTGGATCTTTACTCACCATTTATCTCCTTTTTCACCGAACATATTCATTTTAAAAACCTGAAACAGAAACAAATTGTAGGTTACTCATTACTAAATTTTTTTTTACATTTTAAATTTTTTATTTAATTAAAATGCACAAAATGTTATTTTAAATATGATAAATATCTACTGAAGACCTCTTTTTGACTATTTTATTCTGCAGAACAGCCAAATTCTCAGCAGTATTGCTGTTGGAAAATAGATCCGTATTTATGATATATCATAGCAACAACATTTGTAGCTCTTGATGTTCAACTAGGTATTATAGAAATGAAGTGAAAAGCTAACAAGTATGTCCATTTAATCAAGATATTTTGTGTACTGCATTTAAAAAGAGGAAAAAGTGTAGATCTATGCATCAACTACCAAGTGTAGATGATTTGAAAGTTTGGAAATGCTTGCTTCAAATTGGAAAGTATATTTTTGAGGGTAACAAAAATGAAAAGTCTTGAAATGGTTTGGTATTAGAATAAAAAATAAGAACAAATAAAAATGATTATTAAAAATAAAAATGTATAAAAATTTAATTATTGCCATAACCGCTTTCTCTTTGCCATGTGGGAAGGCAATGTCATGTGCAAAGGTCTAAATGCCATTTAACCATGATGAAGTGAAAAATTAAGGCCCCTCCCCCCCTTCCCCTAAAGTGTGTCCCTGGAACTAATTGGATTCCTCTCATTGGTAGTTATATAAGGTCACTACATGTATTATCACATGCATGCTACTTGATAGCATGGGGTATTGGAACTTTATATCTCTTCAGTTCCTCCAGACCCTCATGAGGTTTAGAAATTTGATACAAACCATAATCTCTCTCTCTCTTTCTCTCTCTCTCTCTCATGATTTTTCTCAGGGCTGACTAGATAGCCTTCAGAGATTACAAAAAGCTCACCATGATTATCTCCATGTCTCCCATTTTGTATAGTAACTGAAAACAGCAGAGACATCTCTGAAACTTAGGATGCCTTAGGGTAACATTGAGGGATATCATACTAAACCCTCTATCTCCTACCCTCGCCCCCTCTATGGGTTCATTCCCATTGAAACAATAGGACCCCATTTCCAGAGATTAGATCGATCTACTTTAGATCGACCTAACTCCGTGGGGGTTCACGCTAAATAGCTGTCAGCCGAGCAGACACGAAAGTTAATTACCCCCTTACAGCTTGCAGTAGGCGGGACGGACATTTAAGCCGGAGTATCTGACAGTAATCTAGCGAGACTCCCCGCAGGGATAGATCGATCTAAAAGCTCTGGGAATACAGCCTAGGTCTACCTAGATGGATCCAACTCCACGGGAACTCATGGGGACTCTCACTGAGTACAATCACTTATACAGATAACACGCCTCCTGGCCTTGGGTAGAATACAGAAAAGCTGGTGATTATACAAGTACCTCGGAAACAAGATTAGTCGTGTTAAGGCTCTGTTCAACTGATTGCATTTAGCAAGAGTCCCCGCAGAGATGGATCGATCTACATAGACCATTAGTTTCAATGGGAATGAACCCTTTGTTTAACCAAGAAAAATATCATACTTAATCATCCCTCTTTCACCCTTGCTCCCTCTCTCACCCTTGCCCCCTCTATTACTCTCACTCGTCCCTCTCCCATCCTTCTTTCACACATTCTCCTCCACATGGGCACCACCATCAAAAATTAAAAAAAAAAAGTCTGAGGTGTAATGAGCTAGCCATGCCCCAGTGAGCCCCATTCTGAACCTCTCCTACCATGGCAAACACCTGTGGCGTACCCCTGGGGGTGATTAATGACCCCGACATTAGCATCACAGGCTATAATACCTTGGTTTACCTGGCTCGCTGAATGGACATCTAATTATCTCTGTCACAGGTATGGATACATGAGAGGTGTAGAGTGCTGGGATTTTATACTCTGCTTGGAACTTAGAGCAGGGGGATCCAGTTACAAAAATGTGAGATGTCATAGGTTGCAAGGTTCAAATTCAGAACGGCAATCGGCTTTAGTAATATTGGTAATCTGCACCTCACTGAGGCGGATTGTCAGATCGTCAATCCCTATGGAAAAGAATTTCTGTCTCTTTGATGCCCCTTTTAACCCAAAATACATAGGAAAATAAATATTTTTGCTCTCTGTTTGATCATAACTGATAAAAATATCAAAGAGTGAGTGCATGGATGAGGAACCGTTATCATTACAATTAAGGATCTTAAACTGCTGTTTGAAATTTAGCTAGGGTTGAAAATTGATGGTAATAGATGAAGAAATTGCCAGGTGCATCTTTCTGTGATAAAGGAGAGACGTTTAAAAAAAAGCAAGAAATCTAAGATTTCATCATCTTTTGAGAAGCATTCTCCCAGTATAAGACCTTTTCAAACTAAGGAGCTCCTTTTCCACTTCTGAGAAACATATTCATAATCACTTACTTCTTCTTGAAATCATTGCCTATGCAGGAGTTGGTGCCGTTGTCATCTTCTGCTCTTGAGCAACACTATTGAAAAAATCAGATAAAGAGAAAGTAATTATCACTGCAAACAAAGATAACGTGTGGCATACAAAAGATAAGATGTCTGACTAATTGTATTATGCGCCTCTCTTTCCTGTTATCTGGTACTTATCTGTGGCACGTTTAATTGTAATTATCAAGCACTGCTTCTTGTTCATATATGGGATAGTGTTTTCATGAGCACCTGTTGGTTGTCAGAGGACAGGATATTACTTACACCCCATTTCCATAGATTAGATCGACCTACTTTAGATCGACCTAACTCCCTGGGGGTTCACGCTAAATAGCTGTCAGCCGGGCGGACACGAAAGTTAATTACCTCTTACAGCTTGTAGTAGGCGGGGACGGACACTTTAGGGGGATTATCTGACAGTAATCTAGTGAGACTCCCCGCGGTGATAGATCGATCTAAAGTTGTGGGAATAGACCCATAGACTGCATTCACAGTAAAAGTTGATCGGCAACGTCTCCACAGGGAATCTATTTAGTGTCTATTAGGGGTTAATGTAATAAGCTTTCAATAGGTTGGTCATATTTGATCCCTGGGTCTGTTATTTCGTGGATCAACTTGTACTAAATGCGTCCATATAGGTTGCATTCCCATTGAACCTATCCTACTAGGTAAATCGATCCAACTCTGTGGGGACTCTTGCTGAATGCAATCAGATTAACTGAATGTCATATCTCCTAGAGCAGCTACGGGCTGATAAAACTTTCATGTGCATTCGTTCACACTCATAATGAAATGAAAAAAATTAATAAAAAAGCAGGATCAAATGGTATCAAATATTTTTATAAAATTTTAGATAACATATTTCTAATTATAAAGATAACATATTATATAATTCTTTATAAATTTGATACCATTCCTGCTTCCAAAAGCTGAGCACAAACTAATGTACCCAGTGTCACTTCACACAGGACAGGGGAGGGGCTGTGTGACTGCTTATCATCACCAATAGTTAGGATAAGTACACATTAGAACCAGCCTTATATATCATATACATAATAACCACTCACAGACACACACACACACCGTCATTATATGCAGTGAGGATATGGGGTTCACTTTGTGATGGAGGCTGTTCCTAATGGTAGTGGTCCTAGCTAAGATGGTCAGGCCACTGTAGCAGCTAGCTTCATGTGTTCATGAGTGGAACTGAGTTTGTTTTGTATGTAAGTGATTGTTTTGTTATGTTTTATGACTGTTAAATTTTTTATGTATCCTTTAATGTATTTTAAGCGAAAAAAAAATCTTTAAATTGATATAATCAAGTGATAATGAAGGCATAATATTTGACTATTAACATGAGGCAAAATGAACAAATCTGTAATTATTATTATTATTATGGCAAAAATGTAGAAAAAAATAGTAAGGATTTAAATTAAGTATTTTTTCGTAAGGTTAGAAATATAAAAATGTACTTGAAATCGTACCTCCTAACTGAATATATTGTTAGTGATTTAGATGGCTTTGAAAACGTGGGAAACTGCAGAACTGTTTCACACCTGTTGATACCACAAAGGGAGGATTTTGACAGCATATTTAAAGTATAGCGGGCTCAGTTGCATGTTCAGGTTAATTGTGTCACTTCTGATTGATTGGAGAGGGTTCCATATGGAGACAAGGATGTGCCACCAAGGGCTGTAGAATGAAGTAGGTGTCAAAACAAAGATGGTTCATACAGTTATGTACTGGGACAGAGCCTTGTAACCAATATCACTGTGATGGTGACAGTATGGACAGTATTGAATTATACTTAAATATTACTTAAAAGGATATGCATATTACTGTATTTATGTAAAAATCATGAAGTGTACCTCTGAATCTTCATCTGCCATTTTGCTCAAGAGTCAACACATCAGAAGAAATTTTTACATGAATCAAAGGGGAAGCACTTCATGGTGGTGGATTGGTTTTAAGGTTGTGGAACAGCGGACACAAAGCATGTTTCGCACAAACGACACGTAACACCTTGGATCACTTGAGCCACATGAGATGTAGAAGAGGTTATTGTCCTTAGTCTGTGAAAGGTGTTGAGACAGGGGAGACAGATCACACTTAGTGTGGGACACATAACACCTTTCTTGGTCCCCCCTGGGGAAATGATTGACAGGTGCCCTTCACTGTATCCAGTGATTCGTGGCAAGGGTCCCACTTGATTAGTGAACCCACCATGTCGTCCATTGACCTCGTGTTAGTCTGTGTGATATTTGGAAGGCATTTGATACAGTCTGGCAGTTTCTTAAAGCTTTTGAATGTGATATAAGAGTTGGTTGGTGAAGAGACAGTTTATTGTTCCAGTTCAGGGATTTAGATTTGGATATCTCCAGATAGTCTCTTTTTTGGAGGGGTAAATGGGACATTATGATAAAAATCCATAAGGAAATTAACTCATGTAGATGAATCACTCAAGAAAAGGTATGTTTATACAAGTTAGAACAATGCCTCTTATGTCATACACTTCAAGTGCAATTCTAATTGAAGTGATAGAAATTTATAGAATAAATACATTCTCTCTAATTTTCAATTCTGAGTATATGTAATAGACTTTTTAGAGGTAATTCTACTGCAGGACTGTATTAAAGAGCAACAATATTAAAGTTGAATATAAAAAAATAAATAAGATAATATGAAATAAATAGATAGACAAATAAAAAAGGAAAAAGATGTTGTTACACGAGATGTCTGTAGGGTGGAAAAAAACTTCTGTGATACCTAAACCTTGTTAGAAATTCTGCTTTAAAAGTTTGAGGTCATGATAAAGATCATTTTAACCCAATTCTGGGTCAAAGAGGTTGATTGTAATCAAGTGTTATTAACACATTACTGCTGATCATATTTACGTGTAAGACTCAAGATTAGTTGACACTTTACAGATAAGCAATGACATTATGTGAGAGAGTTAGTATACTGAGTACAGTGAAGGATGCATATGAAGCTGGGCATTGTTCCTTGGCACAATGGGGACATGTTATTATTTATAATGTACAGGTGTACAATGTAATATCAGTGTCACCTAGTTATTATGTCATATTGGGTGAATGATGACAGCGACCTTGTCTTGGTGAAGGGAGGAATGTTATATGGATGTCAGTTTTCAATGATTACAATGAGAGCAGTGTATAGGGTTTGTGACATATTGTACAAAAAAATTGGAAAAAAGGCTCTGTATAAGTATAATATGTGACCATAAGCACGTAGAGCTTAGCTGTTGAGTCAACCTTGTAATAGTTATAAATCTGTGAAAACTAGTACTAAAATACTGTAGTGCTTAGAAGTAGATTCTCACATGTCTGGTTATGCCTCAACCTTTTCAGAGGGGAAAATTATCAATCTTTCAGATTCATAATTTTGGAATCATTAAAAATTATATTTCTGTAAAGCATTTGTGGTGATTTAATTGTACAGAATAAAACTATGGGGTAGCCTGCTTTTTAAATTCTGTAGCTACCACTCAATAGGAATGTTCCAAATTAAAGAATTTATGACCATAATATCTGTGAAATTCACTATTGAAAAGTTCAAGTCATTAGCTTATCTTACATGAGTTGATTTATGAAGATCTGCCTGTCCAAGCTGATAATTATTGGGGAAAAATGATACATAAATGAATTAAAGAAAATTCCACAATCTGATGTTTGGCAAAATTGATGCCTTGAATTATTGCTTAAAAAGAGAAAAATATTTGAGTTTTGAACAACATAACAGATGCGATATTTTCAAGCATGATTTTATGGTCAGAATGTCAAAATCTTAAAAAAATATTTTTCAAAATTCAACAGTGCAATGTACTATATTGTAGATTGATTCACTTATTACTGTGGCATACAATTAAGATTTTAAAAAAGTGTTGACTGCAAGCCATAAAGGTGATATTTTCTTTCCACTTTTCAGAGCTGGTGTGATCTGTATGACTGTATGTGTGTATAAAGGGAAGTGAAGAGAGGCCAGCTCATCATGGATGCCAGGGACAGGGTGAAGAGGGAGATGGACGTGTCCGCGCCCAAACCAAAGGAACATGGCGCCAAGAAAGAGGAAGGTAAGTGTTGTGGATGTGTAGATTTTTATTTATCCAGGTGTAGTTTCAATCAAATTGAGAATGGAAATTGTATCTTTAACTGGGCTCTGATGTTTAGTGTTGAGCTGAAATGTTGACAGTCATAAAGATGACAGACTTCTGGATTTATCTGGGAAAAAATATAAAAAATATCAAGGTGTTTGTTTTTATGCTCTCAGTCCCCCTCATTTAGAGCTGCACACTTTGGGCATAAACATTTTCCAAAAATTTTTAAAAAAATTTCTTTTTCATCTTAACAATTAGTTCAGTTTCCTAATGAAGTCTATGAGATAATAGACAAAACATTAAACCTCATACCATTATGTAAGTGTCCAGTATAACACTCAGTTTTCATTCGTAAGAATAACTTGACAAGAGAGAGAGGGAGAGAGTGAAAGAGATAGAGAGAGGAGGGGTGTCTTCATCATGTAATAGTGTCTGTGTCATTAAGTTGTCTGATGCAGTGAGTGAGGCTGTGTAGTTTGTGATAAGGCCTGTCATGTCTTGTCACATCTGTCTGCTGTAAACTGCACTGTCAGCCATGTTTACAAGAGTTTTCACAACTTTTTGTGTTGTAACAAGACGCTCATCCATCTGCATTTGTAGAGTACCATGATTGCTCTGAACTTTGCTTCATTTGTGGAGTGTGTAATGGACACCCTTTCTCTTTTTTGCTGAGACTATAGGGAAAAAATTGCCCCAATTCATATAAACCACTTTCCACTGAGTTGGAATCTTTACCTTGCGACCTGCCCCTCTCAAGAACATTACGCCCCAACTGTTTGAAACAGTCGTGAAAAGTTTTGAAGATTTATACTCTGCAGTTTTGCACTTAAAACTACTGCAACTTGAAACAGCTAACGTAAATTTTTTGTTATCACACTAAACCGGACACTTCCTTCGGCAAAACCAGCCGATTATGTATCTTAAATCAAACAGAAATCTCGCTATTGATCCCATTTCCAGCCAGGGGAGAGGCAAGATCTACGGTCAGTTGTGTTAGGGGTCATCACACTTAGTCCAGCGGGCCTAGCTCGATAACCGCTTGGTTTGTGGTGGTGTGGCACACTCAAAAGGTTTAGAAAATTACTAGTTGTATCACATTACCCTCTCACTTTGAAAAGAAGCTTTATGTGCCGTTTGAATGAATCTGTCATCTTACAGAAGGATGAAATTGAAATGTATGTGACAGGAAAATAGGGCAGGGTTTGTGGATCGCCAGGGAGAGGAAATGGTGGGTACGGAATGAAAATAAAATAAAAATATTTATTTTGATGTGTTGGGCATTTTTTTTTTAATTGGTAAAATGGAGCAATCAGAAAAGTGTGGATGTTTCTTTTTAACATAGATTAGGGAATGTTTGTTTTTCATTCTGACTGGCCCTTTTGTTGATTCCCCTAACATGTTTTCACTAATGAAATTGGTTCTTAATCAAAGTTGGACAATTTTTACCAAAAAAAAAAAAAGGTTTATTTTGTCAGTCTGAACCACAGGCAAGAAATTGCATAGAAACAGAGCATGATGAATGAAAAGCATAATCTTCTAAAAAATCTCTTTTTGTTAGGCACAGCTGTGCTGAGCTAGATTTTGCTAAAAAGAGATGGTAACTTTAAGATGATGCCATTGAAAATTAAAGAGCATGAGTAACAGGGCACTTCTCAACGGGAGATGTTATACAGTGAAATAAGCATATGAACATGATCAACAGAAATGGAAAGTGTTAGTGCTATTTCCAAATTCAACATTGAGACAATTAAAGAAAACTTGATTTCATAGAAAATCAGAAATTCAATTCAGACATAAGATGTAGTATGTATATTATGTCTCACTTGATCTCATCATAGTGCAGGATGATATCAGAGAGGCGTGTTAAGTGAGAGATAAATGCCCTGGTATTTCTCCTCAGTCAGGGAAGGCATCGGGTTAGGATGTAGGTTAGAATAACTACAGGTTCTTCTTAGTTATAGTATGGTAGGCACGGCCATAACTCTTCCTCTGTCATCATCTTGACTACCGAGGAATAAAAACAACATGGTCTGAAAACCAAGGAAATCTATTGGCAACCGGTAGTGCTAAAGACCATCAAAACTTCGTATGCAATCACTTATAATGGCGGGAGGCTGGATTTATGCTCCGCAAATGGTCTCCGAGTCTTTTCTTTCAGCTTTTATGTGCGGCAATAACTGTAATAAAATATAGCCACAGTGGGTGAAGTGGGGAGTTAAAAAAGTAATTACAAGCTCGAAGAAAGATATTTTTGTTTTCTGCTGGTAAGGAGAAATACCAACTACACCATTTAAGTTGTTTTACTGAGAGCAACTGTCTATTTTTGTAATTACCCAAAGTCTTAAGTGTTGAAGAGAAGCATGCGGCATGCGTTCTTAGCATCAGCAGAAGTCAGGCGCATTGCAGAAATCAGTAGTGGATTGATTGAAGAGCCCAGATATCCGTGGCACTCCGGTTGGGGCGAAAGTTTGAGTATATAATGATCTGCGGGGAAAACAACCCTTAGATTGTTAATGCGATAGCATAAAATGATTGAGATGACTGGAGCTATTTTGATTTACATCATCAGGAGCCAGGTCCTAAGTTCACACATTTGGGATTGAAAAAAATGGCAGCTAGAGATGGATAAACTATGTCAGATGACAGTTCAAAAGTGTAAATTAAAACTACACATTCACTCTCGTTCCATTTCTCTCTTTTTCTCCCAAACCTACTCGTGTAGGCATGCATGCACGCACACTCACTATATTTGACCAATGTTGACTTTAAAAAGAGGTGCAGTTTGATCATGATGAGGCACTGCAGTAAACCAGGGTAAATACTTGAAAATATTATGCCATTTCTGCAATGTTTTTTCCCCCCCAAAAATTGCTCGGTTTCTTTAGTAGCCTATTTCCTCATGTGAAGCAGACAGAACATCCTTCACAAGCACGAATGGAGCTCTCGTGACTCACTTCAACGTCTGACATGTGTCTTCTGCAAAAATTGATCTGTGTGTTTTTATATATTCCTACGAAATAGATAACATTTACTTTGTAGAAAAGGAAACTGTTTTGTATGCACATTTCTCTCTTTTTCACATCATTTTTCTTTCTAAGTCAAGATTGTTTTGGATTTATTTTTAATAAAAGATACACAGTTTAGTAACATGAGCTGTAGCTCTGTCTTTTAACAGAGGCGTAATATGTTTCGTTCAGTTCCCCTAGCATCTCTATTGCCTCGTAGCTAGAGTACATTTTCTATGGTTCTAAAGGAGTTCTTTGCCTTCCCACAAGTCATTCAAAAGCTTCAACATCAGTCAAGAGTGCGAGCACCAAAGAGAAATTAGAAAAACAACCTCCTTTTCCTTGCAGATGTTTATATAATGAGGTCGGCACCAAAAGATACAAAAGTAATAGATTTATTTCAACAGCAGCCTCATTATTTCATGGCCCCCCTTTTTCCTTTTATACTCCTTTCCAAATTATATTGTGGCAAAGGGGGTCTGTGTGCTTTGGTGGTGACCTAATCCCCCAAACTAATTTCATGTTCCTTGCACAGCATTTTATGTTCTCTTCTTGAGTGAATGGAGGAAATGTTAGTGTTTTGTGCAAGGCTCAAGTGAAGAAGTGGTGCCCGAGGAATGATTTTGATTGACGTCTCACCTGTGTTGTAGCGAGGTTGATGGATTTCGGTGCTGGGGCATAGAAATGCTTTAATTATTGTTGTGATAATACAAACTGGCTTTAACTACGCTACAAATGTGCGGTATTGCACATGATTGGTTCACTTGGCATCATTGGTTCAGAAATACGGCATAGAAATTGGTTGTGAAAAAAAAAAAACATTGCTTCTCACGTGAAAAATTTCCTATATTCAGAACATTTTAATTTATTGAACCTCATGCTAATATCTTACATACATTCCTTTTGACAAACTGTTTTTAAAAGTGGCAGGAAATTTTGAAAAAAAAAATACAGGGCACTCGGTTCAATAATACTTGTCTTGAACACTGCATATTCACTACAGACGTCAGAACTACCAGGAGAGTCTCTCTTTTCTGCCCTCACCCTCCCTGCCAGCAGTGACCTCTATTGGCGACCCCTGGAGACCTCATGGCCACCAGGCCCTATCTGGCCTTTGTTCACTCCTGCATGTGATAACCATAAGAGGTCGAGTTTAACAGAAGAACAGTCAAACGCTCCCCTCTTGTAGTGGCTTGACTGTGAATTCAAGTGTTATAACTGCACTAAATTCTATGGGTCATAATCTTAAAATTTTTGGGATTTGCAGATGAAAAAAAGTCGCTGGCGAGAAGTCGATGCAAACTTCAGACACTGCTGTGGAATCAAGTGCGCTGACTGCAGTTTTCTTTTTAAGAGCAATACGTCAAGACTGAAGGTTTTTGTTCTGGGGTTTTTCACTTGCCCTCTAACAGATGTTTCAAGTACATTTTTTTTGCAGTAATTGGCTCCAGGTTTGGCAGTGTTTTGATAGTGACTGAGTCTGGTGCTGATCTTAGCCTGTCTTGTGAGACCCTAGAGGCCAATTGAAAAAATATGGCTGCCATTTGATTAAAAAAACTCTTGTGAAGACCTGAACTTGAACCACTAAATAATGTAGATGCCGCTTTGGTTTAAGAGTTCGCAACATCCGCATTCAGAGACTCGTATTAACATTTCAATGTTTTGCTAGATGCTTTGAATAATTTAGGTTGGCGAAAGCAAAAGCCTCAAGTTTCTACATTTTTTTAATGCTGCAGTAAAAACAAGAATTATATTTTTGATGTGTCAGTGAAAAATGAACTTGATTGTACTTTAAAAACTTCTTTTGTATTAGTTTTGTTCTGTGCATTTTGTGGACTGCAAATATAAGATGAAAATAAAAATCATTTATTACTATTTAGGTCTATTCATGCAAGTGCAAGAGTAAGAAATCAGGGGTCCATTCCAATGTATGAAAATACTTACTTCTAACTATTTTAGTCAAATTTGATATTTACTCAAATTTGAATATCAGTTAATTGGGACAGTTTCTTTTAGTTCAGGTAATTGTGAAAACCACAACACATTTCATACATCAACTTATCCGAAAATTGATTTCCAAAAAGTATGTTATGAGTTATTAAAAAAAAAAAAAACTGAGGTTCATTATCTGTCCTCTGAAGGAAGGTTTTTTTTTAAGTTTTAAAAAACTATTCTGAGATAAATGTGGGCTTTTCAAATAATTGCAGTTTAAGTAAAATAGATTTAAATTGTACAAATCTGTTGAATAGTTCTGTATACTTTTTTTGCATGAAAACTATTCTATCTACTGTGGACCTCTACAAAATGAAGCTTACTTTAGGTTCTAAGTACTACATAATTAAGATCCAGTGAAGTTCTTTGGAGAATGGCAAATGAAAATAATTGTGTACTTACTATGTGTACAATGACCAGTCAGAACTTGAGTTACAAATGTCCTCAGGCAAGCAAAATCCAATCTATCCTGGCAGGCTCTAAAACAGAGATTGTGATTGGTCGATTAAATTCCAGTCTTGAGTAAACGTTTCAGTTTTTTTCCCTAGTCAGGATGGTTTCTCAATGGTTTAAGTGAACCGATGCTGTGTTGAGCCCCAACAATTGATTATAAGCAAAGACATACTTTAATAATAGGAAGGAGAAGAAAAGATGAAAAAGAAGAAGAACAACAACAAGAACAACAACAATAATTATGAAAAAAAAAAAAAAAAAGCCAAGAATAAGAATAATATCAACCTTAGAAGTTACCCCAAACACAATCATCACATATCAGACTTATGCGGTGCCTGTTTTAAACTTTCCACTGGACCTCACCCCAAATCCCACCACATCTTTATATTTAGATATACATGATATTGCATTCAGGGACGAGAAATCCAACTATTGACTGATTTCTGACTTTTTGGGAATCAAAAATATCTTTGGCCTAGGTGGTCCCCTGAACCGTGCACCATATTTTCCAACTTTTTCACAAAATGGCAGTCTCACCCAGTATGTACATTAAATTTGAAGAAACCAAATTTTTTTCACATAGAATTTTGTACCTGGTCATAAAAAAAAATATGTCCCTGGTTTGAACTGAATTTGTTTAATATTGGTTGCATTATGGGGTGCAATTTCTTGTTTTGCATTTCAGATACCACTGTGCCATATGTCAGTCAGAAATCAAGTCCACAACTGGCAAAGATGTTTAAATGAAGTCTTTGTGTTGTGTTTGTTGTTCTATAAGTTTTGAATTATCCAATTACATCAATAGACATAACATGTCCAGGGAGGTGTCCTTGATTGATTGCCTTTGCTTGCCATTAAAAATGACAATAATTCCATTATACAATACCAGCAATATAATAGTTTTCATACAATAATGCCAATTTTGAATAAAACCACTTGGTAATATTACCTGTCATGTTTGTAGAGATGGATAATCAAGGGGGATCTTCCTCCCATATTGTCTGTATAGACTCAATAAAGGAAGGCGTTATCTCAATCTGGATAATACACCTCTTTTCTGGTGGAGTAATGAACCAATTACCTTTTTCCTATGGAGTATTGTGCCTGTCTTGTGTTGCCGTGGAATTCCTCAGCCTTCTGACGCACTTAGGCCCAAAGAATACTGGACTCAAACAAGTTTTAATAGCAGGGTGAGTTGTTGGAAAATCCAACAGCCAGCATGGCCTCTTGGGTTTCTCGAAGGGGGTCTCTGCGGTCTGATTTGAAAAAAATAACATCCTAAGTGTTCCATTGTGATCAGTTAAACCTTGAGTATTAAACTTGCAGAGCGAGTTTTGTCATTCCGTGAAAATAAGCGCAAAAACTATCTGTAAAGCATCACCGGATGTTAGAAATCTTCAAAAATTACCGGCCGCGCAGTCTGTTTTTCACCCTCATCTTACCATTTAAGGACCACCCAAGTTGGGACTGCGGTAGAGTTACCCTACCAGATTTCATCTTTGCTGTGGTTCTTAAACCTTGCACCCTGTAAAATATGTCATAATTGCCTAGGATCCTCACTGGGGAAGAGTGGGCGTGGAGTTTGCTTCAAGGACATCATTAAGACCGCTGAAAATTAATTAGGGAGGATCTGGGACCCTCAGAATGGGCCTTGTTGACCATGTAACATTATTCGGATAATGAGAATGTCAGAGGCATTACCGCACACAGAAATTATTGCCACAGATTTCAGTTGGAGAGAAGGTGTATAAACAGTTTGTAGATAGGAGAGAGTTAGATTCTTTAAGTCAAGTCAAGAGGGAATGTGGCTGAGCTACTATGTCATATTATAGGAGATTGGATTGTTTTTCACTTTTTCCATGACCTTGGCGGAAGAGTTAGTACTACAAGGAGAAGGTAAGAGGAAAGGTTTGATTTTTAAAAGCTATGGATTTAAAAATGGAACCCACTTTATTTTTCTCCTGGGGTAGGGGGTTAGAAAATTGCACAGTGGCAGGTATTATTTTGCAGCATGAATTGTTTCATTTTGAGAGCTTTTCAGTTTTGCACTGAATTTAAGACTGTGAAGTAACCTCACACCCAGCCAGTAAAATTGAATTCAGATAGTTGTGGGGTAGTACAAAGGATTTCAGAATCATTCTTTGGACTGCAGACCCAAGGAGTTGTATAAATCAAGTTGTACATTTTGGTGCAAAAAAAAAAAAGGCCTAACAATGTGTCACTCTGGAAGAAAGTGAGTCAAAACAAATATGTCAGAATTTAAGTGATTTGACTACAGAACAGGACAAGTTGGATACACAGAATAGTGGAAAAAAAAAACACTGATTTTGTTAAAAGACTGGATTTATTTGAAATGGAGAAGGACAAGTTGAGATATTGGACACACTGGCAAACATGTACAAAGAGTACTGGACTGTAGACTTGAATAAGCAAGATGGATATGGATTACAATACAAATTGGTAAAATATACATGACATCAAGGGATGTTTTCTTTATATGGATTGCATTTTTTACAACATAAAAATAAAAACAAAATCCTCAGAAATATTTAACAGGTTTTGATTTCAAAGCACTGCTAGTAGAAGAAGACATGCAAAAAAACACCCGAAAAGGAAAGGAAGGAGAAGAGATTAAGATGGCATCTCAAATAACTGACCACCCAGGAGTTGTCACTGTATCCCCTGACTGCGCTCTCCAAGGATTTCAATGGGCCCCAGCATGTCACCAGAGAAAGCCAGAGATTGATGGAGCAAAATATTTTTTACATCAGGGATAGATTACATAGTTGTTGTTGTTGCAATATTCGGAGTAGGCTTCTTCATGGGGAGTTAGGGAAGTGAAGAAACAGATGGATTTGACTGCTGGATTTTTGTGCCCTTGCTATAAACTTTTATTTGAAGATTTTTTTTTTCTGTGGAATGCAAGTATTTGGATTAATAATACAGACGCTGGTTAAAGTGTTCCATTCTCAAAGAAAAAATGAAGAGAAAAAAAAGGATATTTCTAAAGGACAGTTAACACAGCAAGGAATTATAATAAAAACATAGATCCTTAAATCATTATCATTGCAGTTTTATTGAGATTGCTTTTTAATGGGATCATTGGGCATGGAAAGAATATCTGATTGATTTTTTTAACCAAGCCTAACAAGCAAGACTAAGATATTGTTGCAAGTGAGACTCAGATATTGTTGCAAGATGCTGTGTAAAGACAGGGCATCGAGAATGATGTGAACCATCACGTTTCAATATGGAGGTCTGCCGAACAGACAGGAGGCTCCTAATAGCACCATATGCATTCACCTTCTCAACACAAAGAGCAGCTGTCAACCGTGTGAAAGGAGCTTTGCACAGTACTGAACTTTGTATGAAATCAAAAAAGGATAAGGTGATTTTTTTTCTTGATTTTTTTTTTTTCAAAAGAGAATTAAATACGAAGTTCTGAGGGTAGGATCACGAAAGGTTGGATAATGAAGCTGTAAAGGGAAGGAACTGATAGTGGATTTGTTTTCACCGAAGAGGATCAAATGTAAAAGGGTTGTGGTGGTAACAGGGCAAAAGACAGCTGCAAAAGGCTTGTGTAGTCTGCAAAAAAAAAAAATCTTCCTTTCTTTCTTTCTCTCTTTCTCTGTCTTTATAATTTTGTTACAACTTCATGGAAAAAGTGAATACCAGTCCCCCCCTCCACCTGTTACCTGCAGAATCGAAAACGTCAGCCAAAGTTGTCCCGAGATCAAGATGATAGATTGTCTCTGTGACACGAGTCATTGTGAAAGGAGGCGAGAAGAAAAGGGGCGACTTCTTCTATTGGTGTTAGTGTTGAGGTCTTATCGAGGGTTAGGTGAGAAGGGTTAGGCGGCACTCACTCGGGGAGCTGCGTCTGTATGGATGGTGGGGTACAAATAGCAATGGACTGTGCCATATGTATGGATCAGTTTACAGTAGAGTTTAGACATTTTTCGCCCCCTAGATCTAAACAATTTTCTTAATAAGTGTCAGAAATATGTAATAAATTGAACAATGACAATCGGGTTTTAATTGGACAACTTGTGCCTAAGATGTAGACCTAAGAATATGGAGACATTACTGTATGATTTCAACAGGTACAAGGCTAATATAAGAGTAAGACGTATACATGTACATGTTGGTTGATGATTTAACGTAGGGAAGGAATGACTTTGATTTCTGTCTTTAAAATCTTCCGGTCAGTTGAAAAAAAAACGTATTTACAGACAATTTGCTCCTGTTTTTTAACCTGTAACTACTTCATTTCCTCCCTAAGGCTAGCGTGCAAGGAAGGTGCTGATCTTAGTTGGGTTTAGTAGTAGAAGGTGATTAATGGGGCTTAAAAAGCAAGATGGATGGGGCATTTCAGGATAACATCTTTCTCGTCAAATAGTTTTATGAATGTAGTTGAATCAAAATTTGAACCATGACTATCACTTTTTTAGAAACAAAATAAAGAAATATTTACAGCCTCCTCAGCTCAGTAAGGATATGATCAGCGTTTCTTGACCAAAACTGTGCTTGAATCACTTTGTGGTGCCATGAATACAGTTATTTCATACACAAAAGTTTTTTAGATATTTCTGGTGACATTGACCTCAATGTTATTTTCTTTTCATCTCCTTTTAAAGAATCAGATGTTAGATTTTGGCATTTTTCAAAAATTGAAGAGTCTGAGATTTAGCATCCAATTATATAAAAAAATTGTTTGATGAAGTTGCACTCTGGTGATTTTCTTCCATCTGAAATCTTTTAACAATGGCTACCCTTGAAATTACTTTCTTTTTCTGTTGACTTAAAGTTGATTCTGTTTCAGTAACAGAGGCCTCCTGCAGTTTGTCTATAAAACTAAAAAGATAACAGCAGTCATGTCTTGTTTGGCAAATCTCCTGCCGGAAAAAGTGCTGCAATCTTGGCATCTATGACGCTCTCACTGTGTTGTCTGTACGGTAGAATAACACTTCATTTTTATTGTCGTGTTTCCAGTGAAGTTGGGTGAGCCCAACTCGGTACAATCCAATATGGCAGGACGTATAATTGCTTAAGTTGCCATGGTGATGGGTGGGACAACAGGGGTTAGATTTACTTTCTGGTGAAGTAATCGTAATCCCTCCAATGCTGATGTGTATCATGTATGATAAGACTGACCCATCTGTACAAGATACTGGTATTTCATTGCCACAAAAGATAGTGATAGACTATAGCAATTGGGTTTCCTTGTGTGGCCACCTCCTAAAAAGAGTAAGCGGTGGCATTCTGACACTCTGGCAGTTTGAAAGGGATAACAGTGGAAATGTATTTTATTGCTCACTGTTTTGAGGATATATGGCAGTTCCTTATCTTTCATTGTTCATGAACAATAGGGAGCTACTTATTTTGAAAAGTTTGGTGGAAATGAAGGCAGTTAATTTTATTTATGTGTGTAGGAATAATAGATTTATTTTATTTATAGAATAATAGTAGTTTTTTTTTCTTATTAGTTAAGGTCTAGGAAGATATGTTTTTCTTTTTATGTGCTTCACAAATTTATGATTGCAGTGGTTTAGTGTCAGCTATCACAAAATATTTACATAAGTTGCATTTCATAACAACATTTTGATGTATTAAAAAAGTAACAATGCATTTGATATTTTGATGAATAGAATTAAAGCCAGCCATTTTACTTAAGAAAGTTACCCACCTCTTCTACCAGTAAAACAAGGAAACGAGGGCTTTAAGAGAGCACGCGTGCGTACAGGTAGTGGAATATCAAAGGTGTTTTGAGCCTTGGCATCAAAGGGAAAATCTGTCCCATCACCCACGTCACTGACACTTGATCTTGTTACTTTATTTAATTTCCTGTCTGCTTGCTGAGAACAGTTGACGTCTGCAGAAGGGAGATGAGAGAACCGTAAGGAGCACCTGTTTGTGGTTAACATTTTTGTATGGCCTAACTTTTTGATGAAATTTTGTTAAAATTGTCTTAAAAAAAAAAAGGTCTGAGAAAGAGGTTGTTGAATTGAATTGAATCTATGACAGCTTATATATGTTTTTAGAATAAGCATGGAAAAGTACAGCAGGTTACTTTTTTCTCGAAAATGAAAAGTATGATGAAAAATACTTAGTGAGTTACATTTTTCAAACAAAAGCATTTCAGATGTTGAATGATGGATGATAAATTGTGAAAATGAACAGCGTCAGTATGCCACAGTCT